CTCACGTTGCAATTGACATAATAAAAAAAATCGATCACAAAATAGAATTAATACAGCGTAGAGAAATATATTTTGCAATGCGATTTGCATATTTGCAGCATTTGTGATTCGAGAATAGAGAAACGAAATGTATTCTTAAAATAACTTTATAGAGGACAAATAGCTTCCAAGAAATATAGATCGGGGTTCTACATTATTCATGGGGAGCGCAATCTGCACGTTGCATTAGCCACTTCTAATATACTGCACACTGGATACATACATATAGGACTGACGATCATAAATGATAATGGGTCAGCTAACTACATTCTACTTTCAGTCACTTAAGTTAACAGATACAAATTAATTAATTAGCACTTTAAAAAATCATATTACTAACGGTATGCTTTTATATCTGAAAATGTACGTAACTTTTTTCTTACAAAATTTGCTGATGAATCAACTAAACAAGCGAAAAGAAGAACAAGAAAGGGGACAATCGTTGAGAAAACAAATAGTGTCTAAAAATAGAGATCTACGATTTCAACATCGCGCAATTGTTCATGGTGTTTGACAAATGAGGACAAGAATTACTGGAATGTCGCACGAATTAGATCCTCGGTTACTATCACCAAGGGTCAAATAAGTTTATCGAATAGATGCAGAATAAAAATAGTGTGAACGAGGAAAGCGACGTAATGAACAGAATACTGTCTGTTGAGATGAAGATATTATAAACGAACGCAAATAAGGTTGCAAGCAGCAACGGTAGTCTTTCTCCGCATATGTAATATGATCTTGTCTAGCTCATGATAAAATGTCTTTAGTTGCTGAACTTACCAGAATAAACTGAGACGGTACAGATAAGACATAGGTACGTGACTCGAAGGAAAATGTTACGATCTACATTCAAGTGATTCATACGTACAGTTACAAACAATAAGTGGCCTACCAATTACGGCCTACACTAATAATATGCAAAAGTAATTGCTCTCGTCGTGAGACTAATTGCTGGAAATCAACCTAAAAAAAAATTAAGAAAACGATCGTATATATTCGACCATTTAAAATAAAAATTTTATTTACGTTAACTTCGACATTCATTTATTTTACAAAAAATCATATTATAAATTTTATCATATACGTTTAGTCATGCTTCGTGCTAATGGTAATTATTCAACACCAATATGTTCGACGATTCATCTTTAAAAGAAAAGTTCTGCGATATACTTATGTCGAGACGATGACGTAACTCAAATTCTTAAAGCAGCGATGACTCCGAGACGTTTCTCATATTATCTTTGCTTTCCAGAAATAATACTTTCATAATCGACAGTGCGTGATTGGCCCGTTTTATCTCGTGACTTTAATTCCTTCCATCATTTCGACTCGTAAACTTCGTAAAATGAAGAATTTTTGTTTTACATTCTTAGCAGTAACAACACCGGAAACCGCAAGTCACAAGGAACAGAAACTAATCGATTCGCATGAATTAAACCGCTACCTGTTCGTTCCACTACTTTAAATTGGCAAACTATCAGGATTTACGCTACTTACAAATGTTGCAATTGGTTTCTTTTTGAAAAGCTAGCGTTCATTCACGAAGGTCTCTTTATTTATCTACAAATCCATCTCCGAAACGTTATGATTAATCTGATCGATTACGTTACACATTTTCAGTAAACCAACCCAAGTTATCGCGCTCACATAATCGCTGTGAAGCGAACATGCTCGCTACGTCGAGTACACGTAGAAATAGCTCCGTAATTAGCATTGCAAATCGTGCTAAATAAGGTTACAGATCTAGTGACAAAACGTCGTTATATCTGTGAACGCGTATCGTTCCAGTGCACTACGTACTCGGATAGAGGAATATCACAGAGTTTTAATCGTAATTATATATACTTATTGCTCGAACAAATATTTTTTGTGAGATCGATAATAAAGCTGTACAAATTTCGTCGCATTCTATTATCCCACGTATTGTGCATCTTTATTTGTCATTCTGTGAAGAAGAGACCAAAGGTAGGATGACTAATAATACTTGCTGTTTTTCAAATAGATACTTACTTTGCATCTACCCACGCGATATGAAAATGAAACCACGCAATGTGATTATACAAGTTGTACAGATTTCATAAAAACATGGAAATCGACGAACGGGTAGGAGATATAACGCGAAGTGTTCTGAATGAAACTGATTGTTAAAATGGTGCTCAACGTTATCTAATCGAATGGCAGTAATTTTTCGACCGAAGAGAAGTGATCTTTTGACTTTAACGTGCCTTCGTGTTACGAGGCGCGGCTTGTCCTTGCGAATAAGATATCTACTAGTGTGCAGTCACATACTGAAGTGCACAACTTGTTGCACCAACCAATGTGCTTCATAAGCAGCCTACACGCCGCACGCCATAGGAATTCACGGTCCCTACGATACTGCGACCGACGTAATACCCGGTATTACGTAATTCATTTTCCTTATTTGTGATCAAATGAAAATTCGTGTTCCTCGAGTAATAATAAAATGCGATTTTTAACGATCGAACGAACACCTCTAACTCAAATCTCTTTCTAAACCATTAGTTTCTCACCGTTCTCTAAGAACGTTTTATGCGATTTTAACTTATGTGTACAAAATATATCATTCACCAAATAGAGCAAGAAACGCTTATCTATACGCCGTTAGTATCGACTGCAGTAATTGCATGCACACATACACGTTAAGGCCTTCAAACAGTGTGGCCTTTTCGCGCGTTTTCTTCTCACGCTTCGTCGAAGAGGATTATTGAACGCATGAGTATCACCCTGACCGAAATTAACCCTTCGAATGAAACTATCCGTCCTCATTCGTTTCCACCGTTGCGAGATACGAGGGGGAATACATGAGGACCGGTGTCTTTTTACTTACACTGCGTTTCAAAACGGGGCAAACGCACGAGACAGAATCGATATAACGATGGTCGATTTATTATTAATATTTTCCATTATTCACGAATTTCCACATGCATTGCAGAGAACGAATGTTTTTATCAAAGTTGCCAGTTGCCATCGGTGGCCATGAAAAACACTAGATTCATTCTACTCGTAGTTAATGTACATATGTAAGGTAAGATTAAACCTACATAGCTATGTACAATATAGTACATGTATACGAGAATAAATATGACGCACATGAATGACACGATACACAACATACGTGTTGTACTAGATATTACATAGATTATCGTACCATTTAGCCTGCATGTAATTTCGTATCAACAAGTACTTCTTGCTGATTATTGAATTTCAAATTACGGAGAAAAGAATTTACGCAGCAAATACTAGTGGAATAAACAAATCTAATTAAATTGAGAAGATAAGGCTGATAAGAGGAAAATTTATCTAGCCATTCGTAGAGTGGCACTCATTGGCTGGCTTTAAGAAAATGAAACGAGTCACGCGACGCTTCAAATGGATTTTTGTTAGCGCCGGTTTAGTCGACGGAGAAACGAAAAATATTGGAAAAAAGTCAAGGACAGCTTGAATTCTTAATGAATGGATACCGTTGGGCACGGCCTCGACGTATGGCAGTAGGATGGAACTTTGAGTATGTGGGACGCCACGTATGGTCCCGGTCATCGGGATGAACATGTATGGTCATCGAACGTGTGTCTAGTTCGTAGGGACGTGTGTTGAGCGCATCGGAAACTATGCCACCGAACTGGGAATGGTTCCAAGTCTTTAATCAATTATAATTATCGTACGAAAATCTGTCTTTGTCATACTTTAAATATCAGAGGAATATTTGTTCACATGACAAGAATCGTGTGCTTTTCATAATCCCTCTAATCTCGATGTTCAGAATTTGAACTTTGGTAGCCAGTATGGAGTGCATCTTAAAAACCTGTAGAACGTTGATAGTCTTCATAATAATTAATTATAATGTGTTTTGCGTAGCGCATAAATGCATTTCTTTTATATTGGCAGATAGAATTCGAGGACAGCAAAAGTCTCGTGAAATAATAGCGTGATGTATTTAATTTCTATCCACTGGTAATTCAATCGGACTGTTGCAAAGTCACCATTGAGATTTATCACGCATGCATTTTTTTACTTCTTCACGGTGAAAGATGCTACTAATCGAAGGCTAACCACTTCACAAAATCCCAACAAAATCTATTATTGATGCTAATTAAATAAATGACGTTGAATTGACCGTCAGCATTTGTAATCTAGGCACAAGTAAAATGCGATTATTTTATAAATCAAGGTATTATCGTTGCGAATGTAGGATACAAATTATATCGTTTCTGAAAAAAGTCCCTGATTTTAAAAAATCACATTCACGAATATTTCACCTATTATTATTAATCGAAAGTTCTCTTAATTTACAAACTATGAACACATATGAACGGGCGTGTCTCTAAATGTTTGAGCCAAAGAGAAACGATGCTTACCGACGTTGATCGCTTAACGGTACCGTCGATTTCAACAGGGAATATTACGGAGAAAGCAAAAAAATCTTTTTGACACGTAATGGTGTTAACAACCTTAACACTACGATTTTTTACAATAACCATCCTTTTCGTTCTATAGGAACAGCTTGTTGATCGCTCCTTAAGATTACTATTACGTAGTTACGCTGTTGAAGGTTCAACGTCACGGTGTAAAGTATGTAATTCGAAACTATAGGCGTTTTCTATTTACTTTTGAAACGATGTCGAATCCTTTCACAGTATAATCGCAAAAAGAAGAGCCTCTTTTAGCTACCAGATAGAAAATTGCCCAACGCTCCAAAACGTGCGCGTTTAAAATAACAATGCCGCGTAAAAGATCGTAGCGCCAAAAACAATGATGAATGCCTGCCAAAATCCGATGAGATTAACGACATCGCAAAAAATAAAGCTTACTACCTAGTTTTATTGTTAGTCAGAGTCGTTTCTGCTTCGTTGCTCTGCGTATGTAAGTATAATATCCTTGAAGTAATGGAAGCAACGCGCGTATGAGATTTACATGAGATTCTATTTCTATCGAAATGTATTTTGAGAATGATTACATAATACTAAATCCGTTGCTTTCCTCGAAAAATAAATGACTGATTTCCAGACATCGAATCACTACTTCTTATAATCATCGAAACGTATGTATTGCAGTATCAATGTATTCTGTATTAAAGTATGACAAGTTATACACAGTCAGTCGCTATTATAAAGTTGTTTTCAGGGTCACAATCATCACTACATGTCATAATTTTATTGAAATAACAATAATTTTATATAGCAACTGAAAGAATAGTTGGAAGACAGCAATCGATGCGTCGCACTTACCAGTTGTAAAAGTTTAATGATACCAGGTATCGTTCTAAAGTAGGACACGTTCAGTGTGATGCTCGTTAAAGGATTAGGTTGAACCGGTTCCGTCTTCACGGTAGGCACCTGTCGAGGATTGTTGGCGTTGTTGCTGGAACCGTCCATCGTCACAACGGTCTCCGACATCATATTACGCTTTCTTCGCAATGAGTATACCGCGGTACAGTCCAACTTATGTTTGTAGTGAAAGGCACCGGCTTAAAACACTACTAGAAAATGAAGGAAACCGGTGGTACCAAGCCCGAAACACCTGTTGGTTCACCACGGCTCGCGCGGAAGCCTCACCAGTGAATACTACCTACATATTAGCCGACGACCCGCTATTCCCCTACCTACCGCATTCTATTTCACCCCACCTTTCTTCGATACGTGCCTGCTTTAACTTGTCAACCAAGTTGAAGCCAATAGCCACGTTTAATGCATTCTCCGGTCCTTCCGCTTCCTCTTCGACTGTTCCAATATGCTTCGACAAACAATTTCCGCAAATTATAAGAATTTATCACATTTTATAAATACACATTCCTCTTCATGCTTCGCTTATAAAGGGGTATAATGTTCTACGATAGAAAAATAAAAATTATCTCGAAAAATGTGGCACAATTTATATTATCGTGTGTGACAACTTTCAAAATGAGTTCAATCTAAGAAAACTGTCATAAATTTTGTCGTCATACTTCAAACACATTTATGTTCAAATATTAAGAATAAATATAAACAAGGAAAAAATAATTATAATGGATTATTGAGTTTTATAATCATTTATTTATAATTATTTTACAGCAACGTATCCTAAGTATCCTATTCATATTTTATAAGTAAGTAATATACTGGATCTTACTGCTGGATTTGAGTTGAAAAGCTATTCCGCAGTTTCAAAAGATTGCAGAAGCCATTGACCTCTATCCTAAATGGAGTTTGAACATACGTAGAAAGAAATAGCTGCGACGGCAGTTTGAGAGAAATGCAAGATGGGTGGTTCCGATCCTATAGTAAAGCTATAGGGTAGGTCATGAGCTTCATATTATCTCCCTGCTACGAGGAATTGAGCTCTATAGACATCAATGGATATAGTACACCGAAACCACCCGTTTACCATCCATCCCGAACCAGCCTCTGTCTCACAGTTCACACTACATATTCTGTAAGATAGAGCTCAATGGCAGAAGCCGATTGGTGAGGGAGGATCAGAAAGTGTCTTGTTACAAGGACGTCAAGATATCGTTCGTCCAATCATTCGTCTATGATGTCATACTGTGTGCAGTAAGTAAAACCAATCAATGAATTGTTCCAACAGACTTCACAATAATATTGTCCATGCCCACTAGTAGTAGGGCTGTTTTATTCATCATCATTTCTGACTTATCAGTAATACTTGAAAGTATCGCTTCTGACGTCTGAAACGCATGATATCGGCGTTTTACATAAATTGTTGTAACTTTTAGATAAACAAGTTGTACATCAAAACACAAGCACCGTTTTATCGTTGATTTTGGAAAAGGTATAGTATTCTCAATTAAATTATTTTTAATAATAATTATAATGGATTATTGAGTTTTATAATCATTTATTTATAATTATTTTACAGCAACGTATCCTAAGTATCCTATTCATATTTTATAAGTAAGTAATATACTGGATCTTACTGCTGGATTTGAGTTGAAAAGCTATTCCGCAGTTTCAAAAGATTGCAGAAGCCATTGACCTCTATCCTAAATGGAGTTTGAACATACGTAGAAAGAAATAGCTGCGACGGCAGTTTGAGAGAAATGCAAGATGGGTGGTTCCGATCCTATAGTAAAGCTATAGGGTAGGTCATGAGCTTCATATTATCTCCCTGCTACGAGGAATTGAGCTCTATAGACATCAATGGATATAGTACACCGAAACCACCCGTTTACCATCCATCCCGAACCAGCCTCTGTCTCACAGTTCACACTACATATTCTGTAAGATAGAGCTCAATGGCAGAAGCCGATTGGTGAGGGAGGATCAGAAAGTGTCTTGTTACAAGGACGTCAAGATATCGTTCGTCCAATCATTCGTCTATGATGTCATACTGTGTGCAGTAAGTAAAACCAATCAATGAATTGTTCCAACAGACTTCACAATAATATTGTCCATGCCCACTAGTAGTAGGGCTGTTTTATTCATCATCATTTCTGACTTATCAGTAATACTTGAAAGTATCGCTTCTGACGTCTGAAACGCATGATATCGGCGTTTTACATAAATTGTTGTAACTTTTAGATAAACAAGTTGTACATCAAAACACAAGCACCGTTTTATCGTTGATTTTGGAAAAGGTATAGTATTCTCAATTAAATTATTTTTAAATCATTATTCCTAGGTGTAACATATTTGTTTGATATGTAATCTATGTACATTCATCACATTGGTATGCGAATAACCATGTCGTTGAATTAAAATATTATATTTATTATCAATAATTTGCTTACTTATGTTTTATATTTAATATATCTATTCCTGCTATAAAATAGATAGATGGTTTTTTCCATTGTTTACTAATTGTTTTGCTACTACAAGGAAGACAATTCTTAAAATTTATTACTGTACATATACATTTTCTTTTAGAAGAATCTATACAAAATGTCTCTATACCCAACTCTCGAAGATATGAAAGTGGATCATATGATGAAGGTAAGATAAACATACCTAATTATTCTAGAAGTATCAGCAACTTATACATATCATATTACATATTAATTTCTGTATCATTTGTAGGCGCAACTGCAAGAAGAGTCATATAATATTCCACCTATACCACATGAACAAACTAATCCATCTGCACCTGTTTACAATGCCATTTCCGATACATTGTATCCTTTACTAGGAGATTATATGGGTTTGGAACTTAATGAGGAAACAATAGCACAAAATATGCCTGAATATTCTCTTGTGAATCGTAATGTAAGTAATATGACATGGTTAATGGTTTAAAAAAGAAAATAAAAGGAAAGGTACATTCTAGATGACAGTAAGTGTGCCTGCGACTTCAGGTCCCTTAGCGGGCATGGTTGCACCACTTTCCGGCCAATCTTTAGGATTGCAAAGAGCGCAAGTTACAAATGGTATAAGGCAGGTCTGTAATTGAAAGAAAAATTATAACATATTAAATAATGATAGAAAAACTGTATGAAATAAAATGTTTTTCATGCAGTTGATACTATGCAAGGATAAAGATGGCAAAATCGGTTTGAGAGTACATGCTGTGAATAATGGTATCTTTGTGTGCCTGGTGAGTCAAAATTCACCGGCTGCGCTTGCGGGATTACGATTTGGGGATCAAATTTTAAGTATCAACGATGTTTCCGTTGCGGGATATACAATGGATCAAGTTCACAAAATACTACGAAATGCTGGTGTTAACGATATCAGAGTAGCAGTGAGGGACAGGTTAGTAGTACTTATTGTTTCCAATTTCAATCTAATCGTGGTAAATTTACAATTGTCAGTCATTTATTAATTGATACCTCTCATCTACTTCAGGCCATTCGAACGTACAATAACAATGCACAAAGACAGTATGGGACACATTGGATTTCAATTTAAAAATGGAAAAATAATCGCTTTAGTTAAAGATTCATCAGCTGCCCGCAATGGACTTCTAACAGAACATCAGATACTGGAAGTTAATGGAAAGGTTTGCCTAATTTATGATTAATCTATACGTGATCAGTGTACTCAATACGATTGATAAACTTAATGTTTCTCGAAATGTTTAGAATGTTGTAGGATTAAAAGACAAGGATATCACGGCAGAGATCGAACATGGTGGGAATATAATCACGGTTACAGTTATTCCATCATATATTTATGATCACATGATTAAAAAGTATGTTTTCCCATTAATGTCAAATACAATTTCTAATGCATCAAACCGCTAAGTTTTTTTAATTAACATTTTTTCAGAATGAATAACAGTTTATTGAAGACACTAATGGATCATTCTGTGCCAGATGTTTAAAAAATATTAAGATTTATTTGGAAGTCGATTTTATGATTTTAATATTTTGAGGTCTATATGACAATGCCAACGTTTTTTATTATCAATATGTGTAACTACGCAAAAGCCAGGTATAGTATTGCGTTTATATCAATAATACTGATACACAACGTTTAATTAAGAGTTTCATAACAAATACGATTTTTTATTAAAAGTTTGACAGTAACTGTGTTCAGATTTTCCATAATTCTTTACTTGAAAGACGATGTATTAGATATATTCTACAAAACGCATTCAAATAGAATTTTATATATGCATTATATTAACACTTATTACATAATATGTAATGCTTATTAGCCTCATTTTATTTGCAATCAAATTATACCAATTATTATTATGTAGTT